AGTAGTATTTATATTTTAATATTCATTCGTATGCAATCGAGATGAAAACTACCTCGTTAAGGGCCTGTCAGACCATGCTTAGTTTATTTTCTCTTTTTTTTTGTCAACCTCCGCTGGCCTGACCTGACATGCAGGGGTCACGGAGGGATATAAGAACAGTAGCCGGACATCTCCCTAGCTCTTGAGACACTGTTAACATGCGCAGGCAATGCTCCACTAAGCCAGAGATCCGAGGACGGAAGACTGCAACGGAGCATTGACCTGACATATTAACCAGGGAGACGAAGGCACCCCTTTTTTATTATTATTATTGGTGACAAATGTGTATACGGCTCGCAGTGGAACACCATGTAAATTGTACAGATAAGTCTTGTGTTTTGGTTTCTAGAAATATTATTATCACATGTACAAAGTGTTTTATATTATATATAAGCCGATCTTTTAAGTAAATGTTTTAATATGTTTTAGTTCTTTATGTTACCTTTTTCTTCTTAAGGAGTTGTGCCCAGGCTCCTTGTTTTTTGTGTTTGTATTTACGTACGGAGGTGTCACAAATACACAGTTAATGCTATCATAGAAAATGAGGGCAATGTTAAAGAAAATGGGGAAGCCCAGTGTTTAAAGACCCGTTATGTTTTAATGTTAAAGTTAGATGTTTTATTTATTTTAAGTGTTCAGTTTTTACTTTATTTTAGTCTCTTAACTTTGTTTTTAGTCTTAGTTTTGATTTTGGTTTTATCATATTTATCCCTGGCCCACCGTGCCTTCGGAGGGTTTTTACCGCTCGGCCCGCTCCGACACGATCATCCCCATTTATAATTACAAGTGTAGGTAGTTGACTCCCTCAACGTCACTTCGACGCTTTCGTGAAGGTTGCATTCACTACAACCTCGCTTCCCCTCGCCACGAGATGTTGCACGACTCAAGTTTCCTCTCAAGAAATAGGAAAAAGCCGGAGTAACAACGGTACGGTTCCTCCTCAGAGCCAAACCCCAGCAGACATTCAGGGTGGATGGAAGTCGCCTCTTTTCCCCAGGAGGTCAGCGGAGGACATTCCTGGCCACAGCACTTTGGATATGATGTCAAAAAACAGAAACGTCCTTATCAGCCAGGTGCTGGTGCTCGCTGGCACCCCCTGGAGATCGTAGCTTTCGTCTATATTCCGACGTCCAATAATGATCTACAGTAATTGCAGTATCTAATGCAACTATCTTGTAATGGCGAAAGTTGACTCCATATCTCCATTTCTTTAACTTTCAATACAGCGAACAATGGAGTATTTTTCATCAGTTTATCAGAAATGATACTTATCTATATGAAACTGACAATGATTTGCGAGGTGCAACTCGAGTTGATTCACAACTGGAGGAAACGATTTCTGGTGGAATGAAGGATTATCATATTTATTATTTATTTATTCATCTCTGGCTAGCTCTTACGTCGAGGCTGCGTTCATCAATATCAACATCCGGTCTTAAGTCTGTCCTCCATGCTACCCTGTCTCCGTCGGCCTTATCGTATTTGTTAGATTATCTTATCTCACCTTCCTCTGTAGCCTCGTCCCGTCGCTCTGCTTCCTAAATAAGCACTTTGGTCTCCCTTTGGTAGGACAGTACTTGGGGAAGTAGGAGCCAGTAGGAGTGGCGAGTTCATTTCAGTTCTAACATGTTTAGCTTTGTTAAAACACTTTTCTCTTGTTAACGAGGATGTAAGTACTCTTTGCAATGAAACCTCCCCATTGAGATCAACATTTAATCTAGCATCCATATTACTGGACATTTTCATTTATTTGTCATCAAAAAATGGTCCACTTTGTATACAGCCGCAACACCTCTAGAGAAAAAGAAAATATGACGAATGTTATAACTAAAAATATAAGCAAAAAATGAATAAGTAAATAAAAATCGCAGAATGTGAATGTGCTTCCATGCAAGAAATCACAGAAGAGGAATTTCCTGCCATGCAAAAAGTAAATAAATAAATAAATAAAATCGCAGAATGAGAAATTGCTGCTATGAAAGAAATCACAGAAGACGAATTTCTTGCCATGCAAATAAGTAAATAAATAAATAAATAAAATCGCAGAATAGGAAAATGTTGTCATGCAAAAATCACAGAAGAGGTTTGTCTGCCATACAAAAAGTTGTGAGGGAAATATGCTTGATATGCAATGAATTGCGGGAAAGAGAAGTTGGCCACGAAACAAAATGCGACAGAGGAATTTCCTGATATGCAACAGCAGCCGTAGGAGGGGGACTGCCCGTTAATGAAAAAAAAAAAAAAACTAGGCTGGATTTGTCAGTCGTGCAAACAATCGCATGAAGGAGATTATGTGTGTGTGTGTGGGGGGGGGGGGGGGCTGCTGCTTCCAAGAAACAAACGTTAGGCGGGAAAACCCAGTCTCCTTTGTTTCTCAATCTTTTGTTGCATCTCGGAAATTTTCAGATTTGGACAAACAAGGTTTATGACTAACTGTAGAACTTGTCCACTTTATCTACTG